TTCCTCGTAGGGCCTTGCCTGCAGGCCTCCAATCAGACAAGTGGTTCTTCTTTGGATCCTCTCCAGCCTGTCCGCATCCCGCTTGAACTGCGGCATCCAGAACTGGACACAGTAGTCCAGCTATCATGTCTGACAAAAGCTCATCCAACCCTCTTTTTCAAAAGCTGCAAGGATAGAAATTCCATAACTTCCCTAGACTGTCTCTTCTACTATCTCGCTGTTCTAACCATGAAGTTTTTCTTGATATCCAGTCTAAATATACTTTGCTACAACTTCCAAGTTACTGGCACATGTCCTGTTCTCTGCAGAAAAAAGGTGTTCTCCCTCTTCTTTACAGCAGCGCTTCAGAAAATGTTTTAAATAATACACAATTACTTCTGGATTTTTCACTTGGAGTTTCGCTAACCTAGATTTCAGCATTCTTTCAGAATTTCCCCTTTCCATTTCACTAACTACCAGCTATTTTCGCTATATTTTAGTACATACAACATATCATTAAACATTTTCTTGGGAACAGGCGACTAAAGTCAGTCAGGTACTGTAGCCATACCTACCTATTAAGGTAAATGTTTTGCGAACACATACAGTGGACAAGTTCCGTTTTTCCCGCAAGTAATCAGCAATCTGACCAGACAAGATTATGCACACCCAACAGCCAAAATAAGGCAGTGCAGATAAAAGTCCATTCTGAAGAAAGAGATGAGATAAAAGTAGTTAAACACTGAAATAAAATCAGGATATTACAAGGAATTTTTCCCCAAACACAAATTAAGAAGCTTATGACTGCATGAATATCATCCTCTCTCTACTACAAAGCTGACCAAGTTATTTGGTCCTAAGGGCTGGATCTAGGGTCTGGAGCTCCACCAGTTTAAAAAATGTTTTTGCAAATAACTATCATAGATAAGCCCGCAACTGTTTAAAGAGAAAAGAAGGAAGCTTCTCCAATATGTACATGAAAGTATTTATTGTTTTTAAATATGATGGGTTATCAGCTGGATTGCTGAAATAAAGTCAGAAATGTTACTGCTAAGTAAAGTTTTAGAAATTACAAACTATCTCCTTAGAGACAAAATTAAAACTAGGACAGAGCATATCATCTCACATTTGTCTAGTGAAGCATCTGGTGTTAGACATGACTACAGACAAGGTACTGCATTAGATTGTACTGAAATCTGATCAGTATGGACTTTCAATGTTCTTAAAATAAACTTATCAGTCAGTATTTTACAGTGCTTTCAATTTAAATTAACTGGAAAACTTTCATCAACTTTAAAACCAAAGAGGATTATGTTATTTGAGGTGACTTGTTTGATGTAGAAAGCCAGAAGTACCAGTGAACTCAAACATCTTACCTTTCCATTTACCTTTATAGCTAATTATCCAAAACCAAATTGTAATTTATAAAGCTTTTGACCTAATCTTAGACTGAAAGCACATATTTAGATGTCCACTGGATTGGGATAGCTTTGTTAATGGCTAAAATGTATTTTATTTTTATATTTGTACACTGGGTTACTAAATGTAAAATCTGGGAACAAGAGAAACTGCTGTATAACATTCAATTTCTAATTAGAGCTTACTGGAGTATTTGAACCAAACAAATATCATTGCAAGACCTCTCCCCCAATCAACAGTAAAAAACGCTGCTCATAGATTTAGTCTTCTGCTTTCAAATAATAAAAATATATAAAAATAGAACAATCAAGTGCTAAAAGGTGCACTCTTAGCCCTATTTTTTAAAACACATTCCCTTTGCTGTAGGCTTTGGACTGGCAGATTATATAGCAGTTACAGCACTGCATTGTAAATGTTAATGTAATTCCCAACAGAAAATTAATGCAAGAGATTTTTTTTCCAAATGTCATTCTCCTGATACTTCAAAAGCTACTAGCTCTTTAAAGGCCAGGGACATGGAAAAGATAAACTGTAACAGTATCACTCTGAATATTAGAAGCAGTGTTTTTTCAAAACTGCAGAATTAAAGGTTATGGTGGCAGATACCTCTGCCAGATTATTCTGCCTGAGGAGGAGCACTTTAGAATCCAACCAGGAACTCCAGATTCCTCAGATTCACAAATCTGGAAGGGGACTACGTTATGTTTTCCAAATCCTTATACAACTCTGAGCACTTCTTCTTTGGGTCTATGCTTACACCTATCTAGGTAAACTATTTTAGGTGGGATGTTGGTGCAAACTCTCTAACACTAGAGAAACTAGTATATTTTGCTGGCTAGGGCACTTGCCTCAGAAACTAGTTTGTTCTAGCTCAGCCAGTGTGGCTATGGGTAAGCAACCATACCCATTTCCTTTTGTGCTACTTTTGGAAGTTCCATGAGAGAATCTGGATTCAAAAGGTGAATTGGTTATTTGTAACTTTAAAAAAATCCCCATCTAACCAAAGATGACAATCTCACTTAATATCTATAGATGCTACTATAATACAGAAGAAATATAATTTGGATTTTCTTTTCTATTTGTTCAATATCAACCAATTTTGCTGTATGGTGCATATATTTTCCATATCTTACCAATGACCTTTAAACAAACACATTTCCTCTATCAAACACTCTTTCGGCTAAGTAATTTCAATGTTATATAATACTCTGCGATGATCCTACCTTATATAGAAGGCACGGTAGATATGTACCTTACAGGCTAACTAAGACAGACAGACAATTTTGTTGACCCAGATACCTTATTCTGGGGAGACCCAAAACCCTCAGACTGACCACGACTTCTCCATTCAATAACACGCAAATATTACTGATACACAGTGACAGCAGATGAGAATAATGCAGGCAAGGCAAACAGATTCTGCATCTACAAGTCCTACAGCTGTCATTAGAGGGAAGGTACATCTGGCCAGCATGCAAGTTTCACCCTGAGGTTCTCTTTTCAATGTCAGATATCAGGAGCTGGGAGGCTGGAGGCTGAGGCCGCCCCCGCCTCCCCCTGTGGGGTGGGTGAGACAGGCTGGTAGTATTCCCTTTGCCCATAGAGGCCTTGGGTTCCCCTCTCAAGGACCCTTTGCTGCTCTGAAATCCCTCTTTTTGTATTCTCTCTCCCCACCCCCGCGCTCCCAATGACTCTTCAATCCCTGGGCATCATTGATTGGTTTCCCTGTGGTCACCATACTGTCCATGTTCTATCCTGTCAGGATATTTCATTGTTTCACAAACCATCACATGCACATATCCTAATTTGGTTGTTTACAGGCTTCCTGATTTGGTCTATTCCCCAAAGCCGGAAATCCAAGGGCCCTGCAGTTGGGCACTGTGATCTGGCGCCAATGCGGCAGAATCCCTTATCTCCGTTATAGAACAGTGTAGTACACGTCTTCAATTTCTCAACCGGTGTCAAACACAATGGGCCTTGAAGGAAACTTTGTCATAAACAGACTTTTAGAAATCAGTTAACCCTTACCATTGCTCTGGACCATTGTTTTAATGCAGTATCTACTTAACCTACAAGCCAATTCCAAAAAGCAAACTTCTAAATACCATTCTCTAGCCATAGATAAGCACAAGCTTTTGTGAACTTTGGTTTATTTTGTCAGATGCTCCCTGAACTGCACTATATTTTTGTATTTTAGTCCAATATATTCTACAAGAATAAGCTCTATTTAACCACTTGAACTTGAGGGAAAAGAAAGAAGAAGATCCTTCTATGATCAGGTCACAATATCATTGGACGCAGGTGTCGCAGTGGATGTAGTCTTTCTGGACTTCAGGAAGGCCTCTGACACTGTTTCCCACCCCATTCTCATTAAAAAGCTAGGCGACTGTGGCATTAACGTCTACACAGTCAGATGAGTTGAAAATTGGCTGAAGGGCTGCACCCAGAGAGTGGTGGTAGACAGGTCATATTCAACCTGGAGGGATATGGGCAGTGGAGTCCCCCAGGCCTTGGTCCTTGGGCACATACTGTTCAATTTCTTTATTAGCGATTTGGACGAGGGGGTGAAAAGCACCCTGTTCAAATTTGCTGACAACACCAAGATTTGGGGCGAGGTGGGCACACTAGAGGGGAGGGACAGGATACAACTGGACCTGGACAGGTTACAGGGGTGGGCAAATGAGAATAGGATGGGATTCAATGTTAACAAGTGCAGGGTACTGCACTTGGGCAGTACGAACCAGCAACATACCTATAGGCTGGGGAACTCCCTTCTCATCAGCACAGTGACAGAAAAAGATCAGTAAAGCTAACTACACCTTGTCATGCATCCACGGATGCATCACGAGCAGGGCCAAGGAGGTGATCCTCCCCCTCTATGCGACACTAGTCAGGCCACAGTTGGAGTAGTGCGTTCAGTTCTGGGCGCCGCACTTTAGGAGGGCTGTGGTCAGCATTGAGAGAGTCCAGAGGGCCACTCGCATGATCCAGGGACAGCAGGGCAGACCCTATGAGGAGAGGCTACAGAATCTGAACCAGTTCAGTCTTCACAAGAGAAGGCTGAGAGGGGACTTGGTGGTCATCTATAAATTTACCAGGGGGTACCAGCAGGGAACAGGAGAGAGACTGTCCCCTGAGCACCTCCCAGAGTAACAAGGAATAATGGCCATAAGTTGTCTGACAGTAGGTTCAGGGTGGACATTAGAAGGCAGTACTTCACAGTCAGGGTGGCCAGGATCTGGAACCAGCTTCCAGGGAAGTGGTGCTGGCTCCTGCCTTGGGGGTTTTTAAGAGGAGGCTTGATAATTACCTAGCTGGAGTCACATGAACCCAGTATTCACTCCTGCCCAGGGCAGGGGGGTCAGACTTGATGATCTACTCAGGTCCCTTCTGACTGTACATCTCTGAGTCTATAAGGACATAAGCACACTAAAAAAAATGTATAAACATTCAGAAACAAATGTTTCCTTCCACTTAATCTTTCACTTACAGTAATCTTAGATGGTGCCTGTAACAATAGTAAGTTAACAATTCAAACAAGTTTTGTTAGTTGATGTCAACCTTATGAGCAGACATTACAGTGTTAACAAAGATGCATACCTGCAGGAACATAACTGCTAACTAGCACTACACTATTTTCCAATTTTGCTTCCTTATATCCCTTTAAAATTCACACCACTTCCTGAACATCAATTTTCACTTCCTTCCTCTGCCTGGACTGAAACATTAGGAGTTCTAATTCCTTACTTCCTTGTTTCATTGTGCTCTTCCTTTCTTCCTCTTTCCTCCACCCCCTTTTTTGATTGGTAGCAGCTTTCTGGAACAAGGAGGGGAAAAAAGTAAAGAAAAAACAAGCAGGGCACAGGGAGTGAAGTCGCTGGTTTATAGGTTTTCTTCAATGGACCAAAGGCAAACTGGATGCACGGGGGATAGACTCTTACTAGGCTCATTTGACTTGACAAGTCAGAGATAATCAAAAAGCAAGACCAAGATTCCTGACAGAGTTGCCCATTTTAATTACTTTGCTTCTCTGCACAATGCAGAAGAAAACCGAACCTGTATAGGAAATGGTTTGGATTATCTTAATTTCATCTCACCTCCTGCACATCAAACCTCAGAATCTCCTTCATATATGTAGGCAACAGTGTGAGAAGAGTGTAAAAAGTCCAGTTATAAGAAAAATGTGCCACAACAATAGCCCAGAGTGGAATGGACTTCAACATAGGTTCCCATGGCACAGACTTCTGGGTAGAAAGCTAAAGAACAGAAAGGGAGAGTGGGAGAATACATCAGGAAAACTCATACAGGCATTTATGGTCACTGGTCATTTTAGATTCTGAAAAGCATATTCAAGATCAGTCTGAACCATTAGATGTATTAATTACAATAATCAGCAATAAACACAATGAAAAAAACAGCACGTCAAATGGAAAGTCACAAGTATATTATATTATATTCATTCTCTCTAACATCAAAATTCCTTTGCATTCACAAAACCCAGCATAACTGAAACCTTTCTGCAGCTAATTATAAAACAATTTATCTCAATTATTTTAAAACAGATCTATAGACAAAACCCCTGCCTATTCTACTGCACTGAATCCTTATTTAGTTTACTGCACTGAAGATGCACTAATATATATAGCACAAGAAAAAATTCTGCTCTAATCCAGTGGTACTCAAACTTTTTGGCTGGTGGTCCAGGTACAGGGGTGGGGTAGGCCCCAATCCAGCCATTGCAACTCCCTCTTCATAACACTGCCAATTAGGAATTAAACTCCTCCCTGAAACAAAATGCGTACTGAAACTTTTCTGCTTTGTGATCTTAAGACAGGGGCACAAAATTATTTTGGCTGGAGGTCCGCTTAACATTATTATTATTTTGGCTGTTAGGGGCCGCATGGGTAGCTCTGCCCCCAGTCACTGTATTGGGACTGTAAGACCCAGGCCCTAGTCCCTGACCTGTGTCACCAGAAGTCCCTCCCCCCACTCACGCCCCCAAATACTCCTTTTGGGAGGGGGCAGGTTGCCATCGCAGGACCAGAAAAAAAACACAACACACTAAAAGTCAAACACTAACTATAACATATTTTAATATTACAAAATTTTTTTATCATGATTTGTGTTTACATTGTATATATAGAGGTGATTACATAATAATTAAAAATATAGCTTTATGCTTGTTTGTATGCATGCATGGTGGTGTGTGTGTGGGGGGCATAGGATATGTTGGGGTATATATGTATGTGTCAGTGAGGGTCGTGGGGGCAGGGTGTAGGGTGTGAGGGAAGGTGGGGGGTGATAGCACCCCCCCACACATGGTGTGCAGGTTCCACTGCCAACAGCAACAGCAGGCAGGGTGGGGGGCAGGACAGGGTGCTTCTGCCTAGCAAGGCACGGCTCTGGCCAGTGCTGTGTGCTGGAGCTGCACATTGTGCATACCTGTAGGTCCCCTACTTGTGCTGAGAAACGTCCGTACTGGGCGCTGCAGGGAGCAGAGCTCCCTCCACTCCCAGTCCGCAGACCTGCACAGCAGGGGGCAGGGAAGGCAGCCAGCACCAGTGCAGGGCTTCCCCTGCTGTGTGTGTAGGAGCTGCAAGAGTGTGGCATGGAGCAGAGCTGCTGGGCAAGCTGTGCTCCTTGCCCCTACACGCTGCGCTGGCCGGAGCTGCACTCCGCTAGGCACCAGTGCCTGCACCTGGCATGAGCACCTTGAGTCCCCTACCTGCTGCTGCTGTGGGCAGTAGGGGCTGTGCGCCTTGTGGAGGAGAGTGAGGGGTCCCCACACCCCCTACCTACACCCTGCCCAACTCACCCCCCTGGGTGTGGGCTCTGCGCTGCTCTCTTTGCTTCCACCCAGCTGCAGCTCCACTGCCCCCACCTGGGCCCCATCCCCACCACTTTTCTATCTGCTGCCCAGAAAACTGGAAGCCAAGCACGTTCCCATAGGGGCAGCTGCAGTGGGGGCAGCAGCAGCCCCACCTGGAAGTTGCTGCTGGCTGGGCAGGGCCCTTCCACTCACGAGGGTGGGAGAGAGGCACAACAGGGTATGTTGCAGGGGTGTACACATGGGTGCCTTGCTCCCACCCTCATGGGTGGAAGGGCTGGGCAGGGTGCAATTCATTGGGGGGTGCTGTGGGCCGAATGACAGTGCCTGGCATGCTGCATCTGGCCCACGGGCCATATTTTGCCTGCTCATCTTAAGAGCATCATACTGTAATGATGTAACAGTTTTACGTCTCAGTTTTGGTAGATTCATGTTCTGAAATTAGAATATCTGAACTCATATAAATCACTTATAAGTAATTTAACATAATATGATAATAGACTAAAGGATGACCTTACAAAAATAAATAAATAAAGGCCAAGCTCTGCTATTTCCCATCTCAGTTTGATGAGCAAAAAACGAGAACTCATTTACCTGAATGCAGGTTTCAGAAGAGGAGAGTATTTTTGACAACTGTGGTATCTTTTGTGCAAACTTAAGACACACAAAATAATCAGTTCTTGCAGTGCATTTCCCCTACTGCTCTCTGTGAACTACCCTAGCTGCCAGCATTCAGGCAGAAAGTTGGCTGAAAAAACAACTCTTTAACAGAATACCCAGAATCTGCGTGTCATGCAGATAAGTATTTCCAATAGGATCAGAGGACTAAAATGGACCTCATGGGGTCATCTAGTCCAGCCTCCTGCTTATAGTAAGGTACATACTTTGTCATGCTGCATTAGAGTTGTACAGGTATTTAAAAAATGTAAATAGATATACCTTATTGAAGAATACATTCACTCTCATTTTGAATAATGATGGTTTCTTACTGATTTATGTGTTCAGCATTTTCATATACCTGGTTTCATTTTGACAAATGAAAACGGTCATTCAAATTAAGCATGTATTTAGGTTTCAGTGATCTGTTTTGTCTTTTCATCAGTAGTTCCTTTTCTTATTTAAATTTATAAAACCCTACAAAGTTACATACCTGATCTTTAAGGGAGGAAAGAATATATTCCCTTTCAGCGTGCGAGATTCTTCTGTGAGTTTGGGGTGTGTCACTAACCAACCATATCCAGAAGAAGAACCATAATATACCAAGTGCACCTTATATTGAAGGAAAAACAAAACACGCACAGTAAATAATACCTTAATTGAGCAGGTAAAGACAGTTTGGACATTTAGAACAAGAATACAGATAACAGGCTGGCCTAGAAGGACATTTAAACAGCTGCATTTACACAGAGAAATATTGAATTTGTTACTATAAATTACTATATTCAAGTAACTTTTCAGATAGTCTTGTAATTAGAGTAATCTTATTCCACGGATTAAGGTCATTAATTTAATTTCACACTTCACACTAAACATAATTAAGTCTGATGTTTCCTTATATTGGCTGAGCTGAGAAAAATGTGATTAATTACAGTCTTTTGCACAACTGACAGACAAATTTGGTCACTGAATGCATAACTTACATGGACTCCCACAGGAATTTACTGCATATTGAAAGCAGCAATTTGTCTACGTAATAAAGCAACAGGGCTAGCACTTTATATTTTTGGAATTCTGTTTTAAAAATTCAAGTGTTTAGCACATCTGAAGAAAAAGATTTCCTATTTCCTGTGGCTGCTTTTTCCTCAGTATTTTCTGATGCATGACTATTTTTCTGAACAGCATAAAGAATCCCCCAAAATTTCTAGGACTGAAAAATATCATAAAGCAATAGTTCCAGGACATGAAAAGCACACTCCTTGCAATCTTCAGACAAAAAATGTTATTGAAAAGCACGATGAATACATCACTACATAAATACACTTGAAATTAAAAAACACAAACACTTACCGAATATATAGAATACATAAACCCAATTCATGTAGTAGCAAATTAAACCAGACAATGGGAGAGAGACAACTGTTCCAAGCTGTGCACCTAGAAGGAAGACAGTTAAATATATATCACCAAAGTTTAAAAATTAAGTGGCACACTGATTAGCTGGGGAAAACACATGGTGGTTGGAATTACAAGCAGGATTTCAAGATAACTGCATTGTTTCACTGTACATAAGCATACAAATAATTTTAAACCCACTATACAGCTGCCACCTCAGCTACAATAAATAAAATGAGATGCAGTTGCTTTGATAGACTGATAAATGAAGTTGCAAAAACCCACTGCACCCCAAAATACCAGTGCAAGTAGGTAAGAAACAAACATGAATTTTGGTGTATTCTGTAATTAATAAATTAGTGATCTCTGTGTAAAAATGGGGGTGATAACTGCAGATTAAATACTAGTATGCTAAAAAAGGTGACAGTAGGTCTGTTTCTGATTTAGTTTTTGGGAAACATCTACTGACTCTTTTTGTTCTTTAGTCCTCTCAGCTCTACAGAAGCAGCAAAACTACATAGGAAATGTATCTTATTTCTATTGTCTATTAAGTAGCTCCCAGCTGCAGGGCCAATTGATGCTCTCAGTTATTTATGGGACAATCCTATAACTTAAATGGAATTGGGTAGGGAATGGAAAGATCTGACACACATGGTATCTGTAACATGAGAAAATCCCTAGATAACAATCCCCAAGGAAGAAAGAACAATCGTCCACTTTCTGATCTAAAAATGTAGTTTGAAGGGGTGGCTGTTAAGAAAAAAAAAAATACACAACTATTATCACTTTTAAAATAAGAAAGCCTTGTTTGAGAAGCGTTAAAACAGAGTTAACATTTTTATATAACCAACCCAACAAACACTATCCTGCATTGTTATGCTGGTCACAAGGATATAAGTACAGCCTGAACAAAATGAAAAAATCCCTAAAGCTACCCTAACCTTGAGCTGACCCTAACATTTCAATACAGCAAAAGCCGCGTTATCCGGCACCTTACAAACCGGCATGCTCTATTAACCGGCATGCCAGTCGACACTGCAAAAGTGAAACTGGAAATGCCCACTGTGGCACTTCCAGTTTCATTGAGCCCCCGCAGCCCGGGGCAAAGCAGCCTGTCCCCAGTGTGCCCAGGGCCCCGCACCCTGTCCCCCAGCACACTGACACGGCGGGAAGGGTGGTGGCCCGAACAGGCAAATACACCTGTTCAGGCCTCTCAGGTAACTGGCATATTTGGTTACCTGGCACCTCCCCATTCCCCATGGATGCTGGATAATAAAGCTTTGCTGTATTGTGATGTCATACAATATATTCCATGCAGCAAATTCTGGAGCAAGTTTATATTTCTCCCTTTCCCTGCTCCAAAAAAAAAACAAACCAAAAAGAAAAAATCAATAATAATGGTTTCTGTCATAGGGAAAGCTTTCCCTTTTATTACTTTTAGTTGAATTTAGCTAGAAGATTCAGATAATACTTTATTGGAAGATGAAAAAGTAGGAAATTAGAGGTGCACCAATAAAGATTTTCGTTGGTGATACCAATAGCCGATGTTTAACCAATCATATCGGCTGAAGCCGATCCAATAACCAATAACTTAGTAATAGTATTTTAATACAGAAAAATACTATCTAATAGTATTTTAACCTACTTAACTACATAAACAAACTTTTTTTTGTTTGTTTGTGTGTGCACATTATAAATGCAAAACAAGCCTCCTCCTTGCTCCAGCTCCTGATGAGGAAGGTGATGACCACCTTATGCCCATGAATGTCTCCCCCTTGCCCGTGGCTCCTACCCGCAGCCTTACTTCCCACGCACCCCATGCTGCTGTCCTGGGCAGGCAGGGTGGATTTGTGTGTGGACAGCAGCACTGGGCGCATTTCAAGCCCCAGAGCACACTGCTATCTCAGCGCTGGTGGACACCACGCAGCCGAGGTCCCGCGGCTCCTGGTTAGAAGCCTCATTTGCAAAGCCACCCAGCAGAGGGAATGTTTCTTACGCAGCACCTTACCCCAGACTACACCTGCTAGAGTACTCCAAGCACATGTCTGTATTTATTGGCTACAATGATCAAAAAAGCCGATGATGTCATTTTTCCTTTTATCAGTGATAGCCAACCGATATATCGGTGCACCCCTACAGGAAAGCACGTTTTCTTCCTTGACATGAATAAAAACCAGTAAAAAGGATGAGATCCACTTGAAGGACATGGGCAAAACTTTCAAAAGGTATCTTGGCTCCAAAAGTACAGATAAGTTAGGTTCTCAATTCTAATTACTTTCAATAAGATTCAGCAGCTAACTTATTTAGAATCCCAGTACATGATCTTTTGAATCTTTAAAATGCTAGTATTATTAATAACCATCTTTGCATATCCCTCCATTCACTAACTATAGCTAATTACCCATGTTAGTTTTAAATGCACTTTTTTTACTAATTATTTTCTTATGCATTTTTGTGCATTTTTTAAAGTAAATAAATTCCAACTCTGATCAAGGAGAGCTTTACCTAAACCAGAAAAAAGCATGCATCATTCTCCATTTTCTAACATAATAAAAATGGAAAATAATCAAAATATATGTTGAGCTATTTATTCAAAAAGTATTTATAGTACTTCCTTCTGATGCATAAAATTGTGACAAATTTACCCTGATGGCTGAATCTGATTGCAAATCAACATGTTTTATAATTGTGATACAAACCAATAGAAACAATATTTTTCTTTAAATGTTTTTTTTTTTAAAAAAAGAGAGTCAAAATAAGTTTCAAATAGAATATTTAAAATCAAAGGTTTGATGCTTCCCAACTTGAATCCCAATTAAAATTAGTGATATAAATCCCTTTGATTTAAATCAATCCTTCCTACTAATGGACTAAACATTTATAATCCAGTTATTGGCGTGGGAATTCCATGAATCTCACCTGCATATGAAATACTAAGGAGCTTGCTGCGTTCCAGTGGGGGAGCCCAAGATGACCACATGGCATGCATAGCTGGGAATGTAACTCCCTATAAAACAAATATTTTATTCCATTAAATTCCATGGCAATTCTAATTTTTTTTCTAACCTGTGTGTAACAAAACAGCAAGGCAACCTATTAAATCACTTGCATTTAACAAAAAGCTCTTTGATACAAATGTGCATAGTACATGGGCAATTACACAGAATTAGCTTTCTGGCTTATTTTCAACTCTGTAGCTGAATGAGTCTTGAGTCTTGACTGTTTTTGTCAACTAGGGGAAGAGAACCCAGTACTGTGCTACTCTAATTTGGATTAAGTGTTAATACAAGACATTTTCAGGTAAGGAGTTCCATTCCTCACCCTAAGTATTAAAAGGCCAAACTAAAAACAAAATAAACAAACCCCCAACCTTGAGGTTGATCATCAAAACCAGAATTTAAATTAAGCAGCTCATACTGCCCTGGAGACCAACCAAAATTATAGAAGTCTGCAGAAGTCTTTTTTTTTTTTTTCCAGTTATCTCTGACAATGACTTCACAGACCACAGTTACCATTGAGGGTAACAGTGAAATTTCTTAAATATATTTCCACATTCTAGGAAAAAAAAAAAGAGAGAATGAGATTACCTCTCCCAGCCCTTCCAAGGCTCTGACTGCTATGAGGTATCCAACTCCCAAATCTGCTGCTAAGGGGGTGAACAAGGTGAACAGAGAGGTACCAAAGATACCAAACCCCAGCAAAAACTTCCCTCCAATTTTGCTTGCAAGATATCCACCTGGAATCTGAGTAATGATGTAGCCGTAGAAAAAGGAACCGAGGATCCATCCTTGAGTATCTGAATCCCAAGAATATTTTTTCCCCTAGATGAAAGGGAAAAAGGGTTTGAACTAGCAACTTCATCAAATTATTCTATTTTACATAAATAATGTAATTAAACCTTGGTATTCTGAGGTTCTCAATGAATTTTCACTGCCCCTTCCTACTCCAGAATCAAATGTGTGATTACAGCTTTCATAGACTTACTAGAGCTAACTTGGGTACTGACAGATGTAGCCAGCACATCATGGGATACAAGATCTACCCAGGATCTCAGGCATCTAAGCACAAGCTAAACTCCTTGCTGCTGCACTCACTCTGCTCTCAGTACTGAGGCTAGTGAAACCTACTTCTGGTATGTCTACACATACTGCGTTTGTACAGACAGAGTAGCAAGAAGGATTTACTTTTACAAGAGAAGATGGGAGAACAGAATGATAAAAGTAATGAGGCAGGCCAAAGGGTACAGAGATGACAAAAACACTGACAACTACTGAAATGAACACAGAGATAGTGATTTTGGAGAGAGCAAGAGTCTGGGATCATCATTAATTATTTATGAGCATCTAAATGTATGGCACAATGAGAACGTTCAAATTTGTGTAAAGAAAAACTTATATCCTAAATTCAGGCATGATGCTGCAAGTGAGTCCAGTATGAAAGCTATTGAAAAATGAAACAGCAAATTATGATAAGAAAGAGTAACAATCAGAAAATCTTCATAAGTCCTTGAAGCATTTATTTTTTAAATCAACCATATGCTTTCTCAGGCAATGTGAGATTTTCTAGGGAGAACCTAAATAAAATGAGCAAGCTTAGGAAACTGGTGTTACAGGCACAAGGAAAGAACAGAAATATGAATACTGAGGCAGGAAAAAAAAATTGAAGGAAAATTCTTTAACAACACATTAGAGCAGGCAATTTCAAAGGTTAATGGGAAGGGAAGAGGATGATGAATTAAAGAAGGACCGGTATTAGGAGAAAAAGATGACTACTGGCTAAAAATGTAATGCAATATGCCCCTTAATTGAAATAAAATTTACGCACAAGTCAAGACGATATGAAAAACAGACATAGTTTAATCAGTGAAAATGCTGTTTTTAAATCGCTCTGACGAAGGCAGAACAGGAACAGTTCAATTAAACACACAAAAAACCAAGAGTGAGTCATATTAGAACTACAAGGTCAGGTCAGCCAATCTGCAAAACAGAGCATAGAAAGGATGTAATACAGCCTGTCCCTTAGCACAATACAGATGAATAGCTGATTTAGATGAACATCCTACAACTTAAGAAAATCAACCTGTGTTCTGAAAAGATGTGCTAATAAAACAGGAAGTTGTTCCATGCTAGCAGGCTGTTTAAACGTGAAACTTTAATCCTAATCACAGCATCCCTTTAGAAACAGTTTAAAACCATCACATATTTTACAGAAATTCATTTGAAATCTTACCGTTGTGTTACGAGGCACATTTAGGGTGGAGGAATGTTCTGGACACACACTGGAAGTTGTATTTTTTGTTAAACTTGTGTTGGGTTCTACCATGTCTACCAGAGCAACGCTTAGATTCACACGTAATGCATAGAGAAGGAAGAATCCAAAAAAGGCCAGTATTGCTAAATTGTAGCGAGCTGAGCAACATGCAGGCACTGAAATAAGATTTTTTAAAAAGTTAGCAACTTTTATTTTTTAAAGTATTTTTAGTCAGTACAACTTCAGAAAAAAAACCAACAAGTTAACTTTTTTTATTCTGTAAAAGTATATCTTAGCTCAATCTTTTTGACAGGCATGCCACAAATTAGCCCGGTACACTCCCCAAGGGCCACTCTGATCCCCTTCCTCTGCCTGATTTGCTACACTGATGTTTGCTCCCTGCTCTATCTACCACTATGCTACCTGTCCCCTCCCCTGTCTGCTGCATGCCCCACATAGGGCCTGCTCACGTCATAGGTTGGCTACTCCTGTTTTAGCAATTTTATTTACCAGGTGGAGGTTGAGGTCATGAAGACAATTTACCTAGTCACCTTCCCACTTAAAGTAACTACCACTCATAAATAGGAGTTGTGTGATAAGTCCCCATGGAAAGGGCCAAACTCAAATGAGAAATATAGCGCATGTATTTTAGAAAAAATATTCAGCAATATGATTTCAAAAGACCTCTTGAAGCCATTGTAACATGACTATTCAGAATTAAAACTTCATAAGGCACATGGAAAGTATGAAATAACATATAAAAATGTTTGCGATTTAAAATTATTCTTAAACTCATGCTGTAAACTAGACATTATGGGGTTCTCAAGATTTTTAACTGCATCAAACTGAGCCTCATATCTCGAAGACACTTTTGGGCTCTGGCTTGCAAGTCATCAGCAGTATGGAATTTGTAGATGGAACATAAGGTTGTAGTTCTATTGATGATAAATATACCAGTCAGGAAAGTACAGGACTGTCACGAATGAAGAACAGCATAAGCCACAGGTGTCAAACACATGGCCCATGGGCCGGATCTTGTCTGTGGAACTGTTCCGTCTCGCTGGCTGAGTCAGCTGGTTACTGAAAGCTGGGGTGCATGGCCAGTGCAACATGACATTCTGCAAATTTCAGGATCCCTGGACCCAGATGGACACTGCTATCGGCAGCAGAAGGGCGAGTGAGGGCTGTGCAGATACAGCAGTTGCTTGCCCCAATGCTGCCCGATTCCCCTCTCATATCCCCCTGCTGTATGATCCCTGACCCTTGCCACTGCCCACTGCCATCCCTGGACTTGAACCCACTGCAACTGCTGCTGGCTCCACAGATCTGGCCTGGGAGGAACTCCTGTGGTCCAAATCTGGCCCAAAGCAAGTTTGACACCCCTGTATAAACTGTTTTTATGCATCAATAAATGGAGCAGATCTGAACCCTGGAGCAAATTCAACTTTTTGTTCACAGCTGGGGAAAAAAAACCCAGCTAGCGGTACTGAAGGAACTGGCAGAGGAGATGTCAGGGCCCTTGGCAATTCATGAAGTTGTGGGAGATGGGTGAGGTGGAGGACTGGAAAACAACCAACAGTATCCCCTTTCAAACAGGCAAAAAGGAGGACGCAGATAACTACAGACCAATTAGCTTCATCTCAGTGCCCAGGAAGCATACCCTAAAGAAGTCCATATGTATGCATCTGGAGGAGAAAAAGTTGACCACAAGCAGTCAGCATGGATTTACTAAGAACAAATTGTGTCAAACAAACTTGAAGGGCTTCTTTGACAAAGTAGCTACTCTGGTGGATAAGGGGAATGTATCTGGACTTCAGCAAGGCCCACATGACCTTTTAATAAACACATTGGAGAAATGTGGGCTAGACAAAACTACCACAAGGTGGACAGACAACTGGTTCAATGGCTTCTAAAAAGCAAAAGTATACATGCCTGCTGCCATAACCATGGCCAGTAAGCCAGAACTATCATGTGAATGGGCAAGGGAGAGGGAGGAACTGTAAAACATAAAAAACCCCCCAAACAAACCAACAAACCATTGGTGGCTGCACTTTCGAAACACCATATGGAGACATAACGGTAACAGTGGGAAAAAGGAACATCAAACCTGCTTACTCCGAAGCAATAATTATGGTAGCAAATTACTCAAATTCTAAACTGGATGTGATACAAGGAGACTGCTCTTCAGATATTCCATAGTATGGGACTCTGGGGATGTAGGTAAGCCATGTCTGGCACAGACCACACACATTAAAGAAGTCTGATTAAAATTTTAACAGGGAAATATGGATCCTCTGTGACAGGAGATGAACTGTTGCCTGACAGTTAAAGACAGACATTTCAGGCAATTCAAAAGCTATGAAAATTATGCCGAATTTGCAAATGAATGTTGGAGAGGTAGGTTTCCATTAAAGAAATGCCGATGCTAAAGGAATTTTTTACAAGCAGGTCATGTAAAAAAAGAAGGGCCAGCCTAGCAATCACTCCAAGATACTATACAAGCATATGCAACACTCTCTCTCTCTCACACACACGCGCACACATACACACGACCAAAATACTAAAGGTCCCTCTTCTAGAGAAATCTTGTTTTTAATAGTATTTCAAGGAGTCACTTATCATTTTAAACTGAGATCAAGTAGCACAGCCAGGATTTACTGGGTATTTATTTTTTGGAACAAAAATACCTTAAACAATGTGACACTAAAAGCAGAAGTGTTACTGTACAAAAATTGTGGAGCAACTTTATGCTCCAACTAGTTGCACTGGAGGCAATGGATCCTTAATGACAACAGATCACAAATTTCCAAAAAATAGGTACAATGATGATTAAATCTGCTTAATACCTGTAATAAATCTGTACTCACTGAGAAAAAGCAATCCCCAGTAGTGGAAGCTTAAATATCATACCTATATGATTTAAAACCCCATTAGAAATGCAGGTTATTGGAACATTTCTGACTCTTCACTTTGAAATTGTGTCTGAAAAATGAGTATGTTTTAGAACAATCTATAAAATGTAAATGATGGGAATTAATAAATGCGACTGCTCCAGATATTTTTTTTGGAAGTAAACTGTTTTCTACATAATCTTCTGATCAGCCAGTCAAAGCACAGAATGGTGGAGACTTACCAAAAACATACTTCACTCATCTAACTTTTTAAAATGGTTCCCATCAGCAAAGGACACATATACTAATAAAGAAACATATCACATGTATTAAAAAAAACCCAACAAAGTCCACTTCAGGGTCCAACGCAACCAAATGTGAGATTCAATTCCTTACCTTGAACACAGCTTTCAGTTCCTATTTCCAAGGCTGCTTTCAAAGACATGGTTTATACTCTTTCAGTTACTGTTAATTTTTATATGTGAAGCCTATCCTAGAAGTTCTGCAGTTTAAGGAAGCTGCCCTCCTATTTTATTTAATCTTGTGGGCGAGGTAAGCTACTCCAAGTAGAGCATGACCTATTGTGCAAGCTTAAGAATTTATGCTTACCAACTGACAACAGGAATGGCTTAAATTGTACCCATTTCAGTCTTTTGTCTCCAGCATATATTTGCGATTATCCATAATATATGTCATTACTGAAGTTATCCAGTCCATAAACAGACATTTTGCTATATAAGCCATAGCCTTAAAATCTTATTTTTCTAGCTACAATTTGTGTTCAGGAATCATGTAGTCAAGACTTATACTCCTTTTAGTATCATCAATAATTTCTAAAATAGAGGGTAGAGCAGGGCAGGGCACCACCTTAAAGACTAACTTTTTCAGAGATGCATAAGCTTTCCTATACAATAGCCTGCTTAGTTCTAAGACAATACTTGTCTTTTTCTCCCATATTTAACCCTCACATCTTCTTCCACACTCTTTGCCCCCTATATCTGTTACAGCTACTTATTTGCCTTCAAATTCCTTCTGTAGGCTTGCTTCTTCCACAAAGCCAGGAAGAAGACAAACTGGGATTACGCATTTATCTCCACTGACAAATGCACACAATACTTCAGACCCGTGATGTCCAGCCTTTTTCCCTGGCCAGCCAGGTGGACAGTGCCTGGCTCAGCTGCTGGCTGGCTTGCAGTTCCAATCCAGCTCCTGGGGCCAGTGCAGCAGCCACCATTTGGCCCCATGGGAAGGGGATGGGGGAGCTTCACTTGGCCCTGTGGGGTGGGAGGTAGAAGGGACCTTGACCTAGCCATGCAGGGGGAGGGGAGGAAAGGGGGTGTGGCTTGGGCCCAACCTGGCCCCCAGGGGAAAGGGGAGCATGGCCCAGCCTCATGGGGAGGGGGGAGAAGAGTGTGGTCTGGCCCTAGCCTGGCTCTGCAGGGGGAGTGACCTGGCTCGGCTTTAGGAAATCGGCAAGGGGGAGGCTGGCTGTATTAATAATGGCCACTGCTCCCTCCACTGTCAAATTTCTGGACTTATTTAGAGCCCAGCAGGCTGGAGGTTGAGCACCCTGCTTTAGACCAGTGGTGCCTAACCTTCTTGCCCCATGGGCCAGATGGGTAGTGCCAGGTCCACCTGCATGCCAGACCTGGTAAGCAGGCTTGATCTGGCACATGGTGGGGGGCATGGCAGGGGCCCAAGGCAGCAACAGAGGGATGAACAGCCCAACCCTAATCCCATCTGCTGCAATGAGGAGGGGCAAAACGCAACCTGGCCCCAATCCAGATGCAAAGGAGGTAGGGGAGCAGCCTGGCCTCAATCCGGACATGCAGGGAGGTGGGCAAGATGGAGTGGCCCCAATTGGAAGGTGTGTGAAGCTTGAGCATCCTGGCCCTGATCCAGATGTGTGGGGTAAAGGAGGGACAGGGAGCAGCCTGGTCTGATCCAGATGGGCAGGGAGCAGACCCAGCCTTGATTCCACTGCACGGAGATAGCCTGGGCAAGGCTGGATCCTACCTCATTGAGCTTCCACTACTCCCCCACTGTCAAATTTTCCAAGCCAGGGGGTTCCCTGTGGGCCAGATGCCATGACTCTGCGGGCTGCATTTGGGCTATAGACCAGAGGTTGAGCACCCCTGCTTTAGCCCTACCAACAAATGACACAGAAAAAACCCAGAGTATTCCCCATCACTGCCGCTTCTCCTGAAGCCCATGCACTTGGTCTCTAAGCAGCCTGCATGCAAAGCAGCGGTCCACAACCTTTTTTAGACTCAGGCGCCACTTGTTAGCCTCCAGGCAACAAATACCAGCTCTTTGGTTTCCTCTGGTTCCCTGGACTGCGGAATAGCACAGCAGCGAGCCTCCTGCAGCGCGGCACGGACAGACCCCAGCACCACAGAGCCTTCCGGCCCCTGCCCCTGCCCTGCCTTCACAGGCATCCCGCAACCCACCCCTTAGAAGCACAATAAATGTCTCCTGGCCGCACTGGCAAGGCAGTCGTCCAGCTCTAAGAGCCAAGCAGCCCCAAGTTAGTGCTCGGACACACAACAACTACAGAGCTGGTTTGCAGCCGGCTTAAACTTGACCGTCTGGTGGGGCTGAGACTAGAGGACAGCACCATCCCCGTGCTCCATGGCAACGCTGACCCCCTCCCCCCGCCCCGGGCAGGGGGGCCCTACAGCCGCGGGAGTGGAGCGGAGAGCGCGAAGCTGGACCCGCTGCCCCATCCTCACCCGCGTCGGGCTGGGACTCGTTCAGCAGCGGAGTGCGGTCCGCGCCTTCCTCGGCCTCCAGGTAGTCGCCGCCGCCACTGCCCGGGGTGCGCATGGCGCCCAGGCTGAGCCCACCCGTCGCCACCGCGAAGTGGGCCCGAGTGGCGGCCAGGGCTCCGCAGCCCCGGCTCACCCCAGCCGGGCTGGGGCAGCGGCAGCGGCGATCACGCGACTGCCCACGGCCGGGCGGAAGTTGCTTCAGCGCAGCTAAGCGTTGGTGCGGCCGCCATCTTGGGTGCTGGCACCAGCCAGCGAACTCCACCTCCGAGCCGAGGAACCAGCTCGCTCTGCCCCGCCCGTGGGGGGCTTGCGCGCATGCGCGCTGGCAACAGATTCTGTCGGCAGCAGGTGCTGGGTGGTGATGCATTGGTGCCAGGAGAGGGAGGGGCTGGGGGCGGGTCAAGGAACTGCCCTCTGGGCAAAGAAGATAAATCTAAGTGTTTCTGAATAAGGCTCTGGCGTAGGCTGGTTGCAGCCCATTTCATGCTGCTGAGCTCAGTGCTCTCCAGGAGGAAGGAGAGTGAAGAGTGAGTCTGAAGGTAGGGTAGAGGTGCACCTTATAGACTTTTTTTTTTTTAAGGAAAAATGTTTGTGTTCTAAGCGAAATCTATTCTAGATTCGTGGCTGATTCAGTAAGTCTAGTGAGAGGCAGTCAGCTCCCTCGGTCTGAAATCAGGCAGGACAGGGTGACTGATACCTTAAAGACTAACTCATTCCAGAAGGCAAGGCAGTGTCTGACAAAGTAGGTTGTATCATGTGAAAGCTTACACCTTTCTAAACAAATGAATAAGTACATCCTACTTAGTCTGTATTTAAAGTTTTCCATCCATACACCTCTAACGCTGTTCAGTGTGATTGGCTGCCTCTGGCTTGACTTCTTCCACGGTTTGGGAAAAGGGAAGTGGCTTTCTTTGTGCTCCACTCCTGATCAGTGCCAGGAGCTCTAGATCTTCCCTTCATGCACACAGAATGTATATGTTTTAGGGTAAAGTGTCTGAGTGCACTAAGGAAGTTGTTTCATAGTTGCACCTGATACCTTGCTCATCAGTTGAGAAACATTCTTTACACCTCCCTCCGCTCTGTCACCCACGACAATTCTCCAGTATCCACCATGGACATCTTGCACAAAAAATATAGTATATTATACCTCCCTGGTTTTCGTTTCCTTACTTAACCCATTCTTGAGAATGGGTTTCTGAAGATAACCAAGTCTTGAATGGGTTTTGATTTGATTTAGTATTAAAAGCAACTTGTCAGTCTATACCTCCTCTTGTCCCAGAAATACTATCAGAAACATCAGCTAGGAAAAAAAGCTGCCACTTAGCTAGTCTCACCTCTACCCTTGACTGTTCTTCTGCAGTGAGAGGCTTGATGGTTTGTCTCAAGGATCTGTTTGGAGTCTATTTTGTCTCACTTTTTTTCAAATTAGTGTTTTGGTCTCTGAATTCCATCTATTTGCATCTCTGTTTAATTATGACTCATAGTCCCAGAGGAGAAATAATGGTTTAATGAGCATGCAGCTTGAGCTAAGCACAAAGGTCAAACCCAGGCCTGAAGGCCTCTGGGTCCCAACACCCCCGTCTTCCCACACACACCCAGACCAGGGTCAGGGAGCTCAAGCATGCAGCAGTGCCTTGGCTCTCGCTGTGCCTGCGCATGCACTGCATCCATGGCTCCTCACGCAGGTGCAGAGTGACCAGCCTCTGAAACTGTCCACCTCCATCCATCCCTGGCTCAGAACCCTGCTCCTCCTGGCTCTGCACTGCCCTACCTCTACTCCCAGCCAACAGAATTGCAAGGACAAATGATTCGCATAAATGTCCATCAATGAACTGAAAAACAGGATTTTTTGCAGTCTGGTTCTCATTCAGGAATGGACAGGAGATACAAGATTTAAAAACAGAATGGTCTGGTATAAAACAGGACTAATGGCCACCCTATTGGAAGTGGTCTGGACCAAACTAGTAGTTGTGACATGGTTAAAGGCAAGGTAGTAACAACTGGTTTTGGGGTTTCGACCCTGCTCTTTTTAGGTGATGCAGCCCCCACAAATTATTCAACGTCAAGGTGTGGTAGGCAAGCAAAAGCAGGTAGAGAATGCACTAGGGATGGAAATATTGTTAAAAAATATTTGTCTAACCTTCTCTAATTATATCAGTTAAATGATTAACCAAAAAGGCAGCAGATCTGACAGCTGCTGCTGGGAGCCCTTTGACAGGGTTGTGGGGGAGGAGAGGAAGGAGGCAAGCCCAGCCAGACAGCACAGCCCAGGTGAAGCCTGCACTGGAAAGAAGGGAGTACCCTCAATGAGCAGCTAAGTGCTTAATTGAAAAGTCATTAGGCTGCCCTCTGTTCTCTTCTTGGGCTATGGGTACTACATATTGGTGGCATGTTGGATCGGCACCGATAAAAGGAAAATTAACGTTATCCGCAATCAGCTTTTTTTGGCCAGTGTAGCTGATAATGTCACCAATAAATGCAGTGTGCATGCGTGCAGTCAGGAAAGCAGCCTAGCAGCTTAGAGAGCAGCATCCTGCTGTGATAAGTCTGTGGGGAGGAAAGGGAATGGGGGAAGGAAGAAGTGTGGGGGATGCAGATTGAGGCCCCCAAGGTGAGGGAGGGAGTGGGATGGGGCAGGTGCTGCACAGCTGGGGAAATGAATGTGAGCAGGAGGATCCGTGAGTGGCTTGTCCAGAGGCGCAAGAGGGTGTGTTGGGGGGGCAGCTCCCCACCACTGCATACACCCCCAAAGGACACATGGGGGGTATGTTTTCCCTCAGATTTGTGTGTGGGGGAGGGCAGGCTGCCTACTGTGGGGTTGAAGTCAGGGGCTGTGCCAGCCTCTTCTCAGCGGTGGGGCTGGGCTGGGGCTGTGTTTGAGGCAGGTGGAGGTGGGCCAGGAGGCGGTGGCACTGTGAGGAGTGGCTATGGGGCATTTTGGGGTGGTTATAGCCCACCTCCACCCCGCCCACCCCGAGTGCAGTCCCAGCCCAGTCCCCCTGCCGGGAAGAGGCTGGCACAGCCCTTGACCCCAAGCCTGCAGTGGGCATCCTGCCTCTACCACATGCTAAGGTAGCCACCGTAGAGGACATTCTGGTTTTCTGCTACTCTGTCCTCTATTGATACGAAACCCAATGCCTTTATGTCTTCTATTTTTCTCTTCAAGAGGACATAATGGCCACCCTACCACGTGCACAAATCTGGAGGGGACATGCCCCCTATTGCCTCCCATGGGGGTACATGAAGCAGTGGGTAGTCACCCCCTATGCCCAGCCCCCCATGGCTCTGTCTTGCTCCTGGGGTCTCATTCACCACCCTGGCTGGGTAGCACCTGCCCCTGCCCTTTTCCCTCCCTCACCATGGGGGCATTGATCTGCCTCTTTCTGCATCCCTTCCCTCTCCTATGCCCCTTCCCCGAGTTACTGTCAGGACGCTGCTCTCCACCTGTAAATTGGCTACTGGATGGCTGGTTAATAATTGGCCATCAGTATTGGCCAGGAAAATCTTTATTGGTGCACCCCTAGGTACTAGTCCTCCTTACCCCTCTCACCCTCATGCCTGCCTTTCTGCATTCTGATTCCTGCTGGGGCACCACTTGGCTTCCCTTCCCCTCTTCCCTGCCAGACTGCACTGGCCCCAAGCTAAGGGATAACCAGTAAACTAACCAGTTATTACTGCACTTATGGGTTAGATGATTCATCTCTTAACCTTTCACATCCCTGGAATACAGACCCAGATGGTACCCAGGGTCACTCACCCATGGCTTGCTGTCATAGGGGGTCATCTTTAATTTACCCTTCCCACCATTGCAGGTGTGGGGAGGTCAAGCAGCTTGCCTGATGCTTGTGTCTGCCCTCCTACCACCTTTGTCTCCTAGCTCCCCCACAAGCCTCTGTTCCTCTCCTTCTCCCCCCAGCCTTTGCTTCCTGCTTATATGTGGCGGTGGGGGTGGGAACCACATTTTAGAATCAATGAAATACTGTATTTAAGTGACCATTTATAATCCCACTATTCTCTCCCACGGAACAAACCTGAAAGATGCACACTAAGAGCCATTGACATATCACCCTATAAATGTTCTTGATGTCTCATTTAAGACAGAGTTCAGTTGCATCACATTTCTAAAATCAACTCATGTCCTTAAACATGGTCACTGCACGGCAATTGCATTTACCTGTTGAAGCTGTGTTCTAGGACCTTATCAGTGACCACAAAATGAGCAATAATGTCCATTAGATGAATTGGGAAAATGTTGAAGGTAATCTGAGGTGAGAGGAGGAAGGACTGGAGAGAGGTAACTGTGGATGAGAGCAGAAGAAGCAATCTGACAGACTGATACAGAACCTCCTCTGACCGTCTGTCATTAAAGCAGATTGAACTGAAGTGCATGAGGAAAGGGTGTGATGTTTCCTGAGGGAGAGCTCAGGCCTTTAGCAGACAAGGCTGATTTTTTTCACCATTCCTTATTTAATCCCTTGATTTTAGTGTCAAGTACCTCTTTGCAGCAGGTTCTGAGATTCTAATGTTACTTCCTTCACAATGCAGGCTTCAGGATCACAGTCAGCCATTCCTGCAGTTTGTGGTATAAGTAGAATTATTCAGTATCTCAATTTTTGGGTTTCGTTGGCAAAGATGAGATTTGTAGCAGGGCTACAAATTGCTGTCCAAAGGGCAGCAGAGCTTCTATGAGACAAGAAGTTGAGATAGGAGGAGTATATTAAGGTACTGGAGACCTTGGAGCAAGTACATAAATCATAACTTGTAATATATTAAAATAAGGTCATATTTATAAACGTTGTCATGTTCTAAACTACTCTTTTTGTTATAAAAGGAAATTTTGGCGCTCCCAAGAGGTGTGTGTGGCTTTTTATTAACATTTGTTTAAAATGAGATGCCAGATCGGTGAGCCATAGTCCATGGTCATCCTCCAAAGACTTGCATGGGTTGCTGCTGGAATTGAAATTCTGTTGTATGGGGACTTTGCGTTAGTACATTGATGTGTAGGATTGGGTCCTTTGATAGCAAAAAGCCACATGCTTTGATGTAACTTCTACTAATAATGGCATTCATCTGTACCTGTTGTGCAATAGCTGCAGGTGAACTGCTCTTAGTTGCTTGATACAAAACCTATAATAATATACTAAGTCTTTCAGG